CGTGCACAGAGCCTGGGCAGAACTTGGCTGGCAGGGACGGCACAGACTGTGCAGAGGGGTCAGCTCGTCCCACAGCAGCACGATGCCCAGCCAGGGCATCTCCTGGCTCCTCAGGCTCTCTGTGCTCCTGCTCTTGCCTGGCACACTCGAGCCTTGCAGCCGTCCCACAGGTGCCATTGCTGATCACCGAGGTTTTCCTTGGATAGAGCCTTGCCATCAAAGGCAGGAGCAACTGGAGAGAGGGCAGGGAGGGGGGTCAGGCCGGTGGGATGGTGCCAGCAAGCCGTGAGCCCAGAGCTGGCAAGGCCTGGGGACAACAGGGTGTCAGGAGAGGACTGGCAGCCCCCAGGGAGGAGGAAAGCTGGGCAGGCCCCAAGGCTCCTGGGCCTCTCCCTCGCCAGCCCTTTGCCCAAGGCCCCGAGGCAGAGGTGGGCTCAGCCCCTGGGCAGGAATGGGGCACAGGCTGAGCCCCAGGGACACCAGACACAGGAGGCCTGAGCTCTTCTTCCTGCAGTGTCTGCCTGGGGCAGCCCAGCCAGGCCTGAGGCTCTCCAGGACAGGCCAAGCCCAGCAGAGAGGGCTCAGCCCTCGGAGGCTGCACTCACTGCAAAGGGAATAAAACATCAGCCTAGAGGACATCCTGCCCTCAGATGGAGAACTGGAAATGTCAAGAACAAAAGAGTCACCCCCTCCATTATTGAAGAAATGTTTTCAGCTCTTTACTAAAAGCATTCAGGACTCGAGGCACCCAGTTTTCTGTCTGACAAGATTTGCAGGGGCTGCTTGGCAAAGGGAACCCCTGGGGCCCCATTGCAGAGGGTGGGGCTGCACTCTGGGGGTGTCACCTTTGGCTCTTGGGTTCCAGGGGCAATGGGAGTCAGTGAGCCGGGCTGGGGACGAGGGGCAGGATTGGCTGGGCTGGCTCTGGTGCTGGCCCAGAAAATGGAAGTGTCCCCATGGGGGCAGCTCTGAAGGGCCCAAGAAGTAAAAGCTGCCCCAGTGCAGGCTGTGCCAGGGGTGAGTGTGCAGGGGGGAGGAATCTGGGCTAGACAGGGCTAGGGAAGAATGGCCATGCCAAGGGAAGGATCTCCCCCTGCCTCCAGGGCCCAGCCCTTGTTGGGAGGGCCTTGGGCAGAGCCTGGTGTGACTGCAGGAACCCCTGAGCCAGCCCAGAAAATGTGCTCTTGGAAGGTGGATGGACCGGCCCAGCTCTCTGAGAGATAAGTGGAGGTCTCTGAGCCAGAAAAGGGCTGAGAGCTGGGTACAGGCTTGGGAATTGCTGGAAGGGCTTTTGAAATGAGCGTAGGGGAAGGGATGTCTAAAAAGAAGTCCCTTAGGAGAGGGAAGAGGAGAAGGCTGAGTTTTGACCCCAGCCCTGGGGTGTGCAGGGCAGAGCAGAGAATCTCCCCCATGTCAGACTCTTGTGGGTCTGTCTTTGCAGTTCTGACAGGCACTGCTTGTCACGGCCTATCCTCTCCATTCCAGTACAGGTCCTGTCAAGCAAAGAACCAACACCTCACACCAGCACAGTCAGACCCACCCATGTGCTTTGAGCCCTTTTGTTATGTCACAGCCTATCCTGTCCAGTCTGGAATAGCCCATGGATACCAAAAACTCAAGCCCTCACCATGTGACAGTTCAACCCCATCCATGTACCAAAGGCTCCTTTGTGATGTCACAGCCCATTCTCTCCATTCTGGAATAGCCCCTGGCAACCAAAAAGCCAATGCCCCAAAACCCCGAAATGCAGCCCCACCTGTGTGTCCTGGGCCCCTTTGTGATTTCATGACCTTTCCCCCAGGAAAGAAAGCCTGTAAACTTTGGGATTCAGGTGCAGTTGGTGTGACACCCTGGGCACTCCATGGGTAGCAAGAGCTTTCTGTCCTGCCACCTTTTGTCTGGCAGGAATCTTCATCCATATTCAATTTTGGGAGTCAGACTGACAATTCCAGCGCGGGGCTCCTGCAAGTGCACAACAGCCCTGCCATCCAGGAAAGAAACCCCTTACCCTCAGTCTCTTTTCCTGTTCCTTCAAATACAACCTGCAGGGCAGCTTTCTGCCATCTCTTCTCTTGGGAATTCTGAAGATAGATCTGCTCCCATGGTTAACACCTCAGGCAAAACCACCCTGTTAACCCTGTTAACACCTTTCCCAACCTTCCCCAGCCTTTCCCAAAGACGAGATGTGGAAAGAACTGTTGTAATATTATTATATAATAAATAAGAAGTCTGTATGGACCAAGAGACACCAATATGGTGTGTAACAGAATGCTTTATTGACAGAGAACAAAGGCTGCAGTAGCAGTTTTGAATTGTAACACATCCCAACAGGTAACCCTCTCAACCAATCCTGCCAAGGTTCTTCACTGCTCATGTGCACCCGAGTCCCGCAGACTTCGTTCCCTGAATGCTCTGCTGGCACTGCCCCTGAAACCCCAAACGCTGCATCTCCCCCTTTTTTACTACAACAAGATACAGAACAGTGCATTTCTGAAACTTTTTAGTTGAGTTTTTTTTAAAAATAACACTTGACATTCAACATAGTGGCTTTATAAACTATATTACCTTTATGGGTCTGCAAATTGCAGCAAGTATTTACTTAAGGCTTTCTTTTAGGAGTCTTGGGGGTAACTTGTAAGAATCTTAAATTTTATTTTCCAAAGGGTTTTAGTGAAACTGGGTAAAACCAAAAACTTTATTAAAAAATAACTTTATTTACCCAAGGATTGAGTGCAACTGGGTAGAGTAAAAACTTTATTAATCTGGGAGTCTATATATAACTGGGTGTCCCAGTTTAAATGAGACACACGTGTTTTGCTGAGGATGAGTTACGAGAAAAGATCCAAACTCTTCTGTCCAAGCAATTAAAAATCCAAAATTAAGAGGCTCTGATTGAAGGAAAAATAATTATGGAAAAGGAAAAATAACAGCCCTTTATTAAAAGGTATGTGTGTATTGGCAAAAACAACGAAAGAAAAAGAGTAAAACAACCAAATGATACTCCTATACCCACAGATAATCCCCTTCAAAAAGAACCAATAAACTAGCAAAAACAAAAGAAAAAGGTAAACAGTTCGGTTGGCGCTGTTTGGTGCAATTTTAACCACAGTTAACAGGAGGCGCCGTTGGGTCACCGGAGCTGCAGAGCTTGTAGTGTCCTGTGCCAGTCACCAGGTGGTGCTGTTGGGTCACTGGAGATGCAGAGCCTGCAGTTCTTTATGCCGTTCAGCAGGGGGCACTGTGGAATCACTGGTTTTTGCCACGTTGGGGGTGTGGGAGGTAACACCCTCTGGGGTGGTTTGTTGGTGGTTTGTTTTTTTGGTTTGTTGGACAAACCAAAAAAAAAAAAGGTTTCCCTCCCCTTCCCACAAACTGGGAAAGGGAAGAGGGAGAGGGGGAAGGGAAAAAATTCCTACTTGGTTTCTAGGAACCAGTAAACCCATGACAAGCCCCACGGGAACAGTACAACTGTTACTGCACCTTGGGAAGATAGTCCAGTAGTTTCTAAATTGGCTTATGTCAAGAAGGGAAACTTAGTGGTGGCCAAAGTCAACCATCTTGCAACCCTGTCAAGAGCAGGCCTGAGTGAGGCCCTTTGAGCTCTCCTGGGACACAGTGGCTGTTCCAGCACCTTCTTTTCTGTGTGACAACTCTTGGATCATCCTGGAGCTTGGGAACCCTCAAGTTGGTGACATTCAGCTGATTGTTGCTGACAAGGAGGCCTGGGCTGATACCCAACCACAGACACACACACTCCTTGAGATGCCACCCTTGTCTGTTGGGAACACAAAGGGATTAAACAGGAGCATTTCCCTGACAACAACGGGAATTTTTGAGAGGTACTCACATAGATGTTCACAACTCTACCTTTGTGTGTTCATTGACTGTGCTGTGAATGTGGTTATAGTGAATCAGTAATTGTCACTGTTATGATTGTAGCAAGTCCTCTTGAATCCCTTTATAAGGATTAAATTGGTCAATGATTGAGTGCTACTGATCACTTTTGCCTCCTTATCTTTTACACCTTTACACCTTCACCCTTTTGCATCTCTGCGTAAATCATTCTAAATTGACTCTAATCAGATGTGTTTACTTCATCCATGTAGTAGGAAATGGATTGAACCTTGTCACTCAACTCTCTTGGTCATACTTTCATACATTTCTATTAAAACCTGCTTTTTGACAATTCCCTTGACAATGTTTCTTGAAACCACCCAAACCACTCATTCCTGACACCCAAGGCACGTGGTGCAGTGCCCATCACTGCAGGCTTCAGGAAGTACTTGGAGATGGTGCTGGATGATGTCCTGTAGGAGAGAAACCAGGCCCTGAGTTGAGCTGAGGTGGAGGTCAAACACATCCACTGCCCTCCCCTGTGCACCAGGGCAGTTACTTCATCATGAAGGCCACCAGGCTGGTGGGGCCTGATTTATCCTTGGACAGTCCCTGCTCCTGCTCTTCTCTTTCAGTGCCAGACACGTCACCCCCTGGAGCCCTTCCCTGTCTCACTGCTCCCCAAAGGCACCTTGTGCAGCCTGTGCTTCCCTGGGCTGAGCTTTGGCCCCTGTCACAGATGGTGCCACCTTGGTTTGT